CACGTGCACACCCTGCTCTAGGTAAACAGAGAGGTCGGGTCTCGTGTGACGTCACTAACTTGGCATTCCTGGCTAACATTGTAGAATAGGGATCTGGCTATCCTTGTAGTATATTGTCCTTGGTCCAGACGATAGAAATTTCTCCGTAGCGTGGCGCTACCGACGGCGGGAAAGTAGTTCGGCTGCCCGATGACGTTTGAGGTGTTTATAGGGAACTTTTACTATTTTTTACGGACACCGGTAGCAATTTTTTCGTAATTTTATAGGAACCGTAATTATAGGGGGGTCGACTGTAGTCCTTGAGGCTTAGCATCGACGAAAATTCAACGCGAAGCGACACGCAACGGAGAAAAATTTCAACATGGGATAGGTTAACATATTTTTTCGTACATAATCGGGTTTTTTTCCGAACAACCCGTCCCCAATTGATTCGGATAATCGACGCTCTACTGTAATTGTATATCCATCACACATTTTATTTTAACAAGTAAGTTTTTATTATTTTATTTTAAACTTCAGCCCTTATGTCATGGCTAGCGATTCGGAACGCGATATTGAAAATTTATTTTTAAAATGTTTTGGCTCGAGATCATATAATGAAAAAGAAAACATTATTAAAAGAGAAAAGCCAGTGGCTAAGTTAAATATAAACGCTTCGATAAAAAATTTGTTGGACATTTTCGCGATAAAATGGCTTCGTAGATGCATAAAAATGCAAGAATTGTTTTGTTGGCTCGCCTACTATTTTCGAATGAAATTACAGGTATACCTCGACTTACGTCGTTTCCGATTATACGTCGTTTGTCAAAAAAGTCTATGGAAAAATAAAAATCAAGTTTAAGTCATTTTATTCGACTTTACGTCTGTCCGCCACAAATATCCAAGTCGTAATATCACTAGAAAAATGTTTAAAGCACATAAAATCATATTATAATACAGTATATACTTGTAAATGTATATATGTACAGTGCATGCATTCGTAAATTTAAATTACTTTTTTCTGTACTCTATTAAAAACTAAAATTTATTTGTTTGTAAGCTTAAAATAGATCCTTATTAACCATATATTATTAAAAATGCATTAATAAATAAAATACAGAACGGGAATTGGTAATTTATGGTTTAGCCTAGTGGTAAGTAGATTTGGAGACAAGTAAATTCGACGTAAGTCGTTCTGCTGGAACCAATTACCGACGTAAGGCGAGGTATAGCTGTAGTGTGTGGAATAAGAATGGCTTCGACGATTTAGCTGGCGAAAGACGCGAAAAATCGTCGATTCTTTCGTATTTGAAGCAATTTGGAAATCGAATTTAACATTAGTAAATAATATGAAATAAATACAGTATTGAAAATTATAACGAGATAGTTACGGCTAATAGATGTATTTTATGTAAATTAATAGATGTTATATGTTTTTATCAAAGAGAGAATTGGCATTTAGAGGGCATAGGGAATCTATTGGATCTAATAACGGAGGTAATTATATTGAACTCGTTTGTTTATTAAGTACGTCGGATAAATCTATTAAAAATACATTTAGAGAATTAACTGATTGCCCCTGGAAATCGGCTTCTTGCAGAAAAACAGCCTCCCTATCGTCAAATGTCACGGCACGCCACTGTCTCCCTCTCCCCCGCGGGGGAATTTCGAAAAATCCCTTCTTAGGATACGTGGTGAAAACGCGCACTGTGCACCAAATTTCACCTCTTTAGGTTCAGAGGTTTGCTCTGGGCGATGATGAATCACTCAATCAGGACATGTAATTATATATATACGTATATATAGATTTAATTAAATTTAGAAAAGCCTATGCAATATCTAAACTGTAACCGAACTTTTGTGTAAAGGATTTAAAATCCGAAAATGTCGGTCGACGTTTCCTCACTATCCGGCGATTCATCACGGGAGTCTTATCAAACCTATAATGGGTACGACAAAATAGTCTTAATAACAGAAAATTGAAAACGATGTTACAAAATAATGGAAAAGTCCGAAATGAACGATTCTCTCCGCCTTGCGGGCACTAAAATGACCTTTCTAATCACAACCGTCGTAGGTTTGGCCAGGCCCACGATGGAAGAGTCTGGTTGCGAGTGACGGACAGATCCCGAAAAATTCCTTAAGTTGCTCGCCCGAGTCGATCCCAAAACCCATGCCTTAAAATGCTTTCGTATTTGATGAATTTAATAACATTATAAGTATAGAACTGTGGCAACTCTGAATTTTAACGTCTTTTGATAACGAATAGACCCTTTTTACATATCGCGAAGAACGGTTCTCTTTTGTTCGGCGGTAGTCCAAATCACTAAAATGCAAACTGGCTTTGACCAATTTTACCATCGTACGCCATCCCGATTCGAAATCAAAATTATTTCAAACGTAATTCGTCCCCCGATATTTTTAATCGTATCTAAATTACAAGTTTTATATCATTATGGACAGAAGCACAATTTTATGGATGCGTTGGCCAAGTCGAAGGAGTTAAACGATAATGAAGTCATTGGTACAGTGGGTGATCGGTTAACGAACATAATCCGTTCGTTAACCGATTATCGATTTACCATAAGTTTCTATGGGAATTTAATTAATTCGTTCTGGAGACCCCCCAAAATAAAAAATATATACTTTCTTTCTACGTTTATTTATATGTAATAATAAAAATACATGTATACACAATCTTGCATTTTTATTGGTCATGTTTTTTCCGTTTGAAAGGGTTAAAGTATCTGTCTAATGTCGATCGCTTTTCTCTCTTCTTCGGGATTTTTCCTAAGTAATTAATAGCGTTGCAATTGTAGAAATCCCCGAGCCTCAACCTGGTTTGGATGCCATTCTAAGACCGTTGTTCCGACATCCTCCCACTTCTTCGAAGGATCTTTAATAACAGATATCGGCATTAATCCTCTTTTTCAGAAGAAAACATATCTCGCAGAGTTTCTTGGTGTTCAAGAGTTCATGGCGTTCTTCTATCGTCAGATCCGTTTCGGGTTCCATTATGAACTCTTCCATGTTCTATATTTCTCAGATGTGATTTTTGTTACTCCTTTAGCTGCTTGAGTCTTCTGGATCATACAGTATTTTTCTTAAAAAAATGAACTGTGGCCTACTGTAGACCTGTTCACGCCATACTGCCCACCCAGCAACATTAGACATCTTCTGCCCACTCTCTACCTTTGCTATTATACTCTCACCTTACAAAAAAAACAGACGCAAAACTCAACGAGTGCCTACCCGACAGTCTCGAGAATATATAAAAGAATTATTTTGTCATAAAAATAAAAGGCTGGAATTATAAGGGAGAGTTTCAAAGTTCGGAGGAATACTATCCGATCGGTATATACCGGCTTGAGCGTCGATGTCGACGTCTCCCACACTCCGAAAAGTTTCGAATTGTTGCCCGAAGACAAGGAAAGTCCAATCGATATTCGTTATTTTACGTCGCTTCTTCTTGTGTTTGTTATGTGGAATGTTCGTTATCCGATCATGTGTTCGTTGTCCGAACATAAAAATCTTTGGCGAAAGTGTTCGTTAACCGATCATCCACTGTATTTTTACTTTCTATAGATATTTTGTGTAAAAAATGGTCGAGCCGAGATCGTATATAAAACGTTTTATCAGATTGCTTACGTGGACAGTAATTAGTGCAATTTCGCCATTTAATCCGTAACACTGAGTGAATATAGGAAGAAAGATGCCTTTAGAGACTGACCTTCAGAATATCGATATTCAATGGGAAGATGAATACTCCGTTGCAAAAAATAGCAAAACTTCTGCTGTCCAGTTGCATAGATGGATCTAATTCTAAAAGTAATATTTTCGGACGCCATTTTCTTGGCCAAGTGAACTAATTCTTTCCTTCGTTGAAATGACGGTATCGTTAGTAATTCGATTAACTCGCTCGACTTTACGGATGTACCCGAGGACAAGGGTTTATAACATTGTCAAAGTCGAAACAATGTTGGTGGAACAATCGTGACTGTCGTCCGCATGCATAACCTTTTGCGCAATTGTTAATTAGCCAAATATTTACAACCCGTTTATTTTAAATGTAATGTTTAGATAACAACTACTGTTAGTTGGACATAACTATGATAAATGACAAACTACAGTTCACACAATTAACTTTTTATTAACTCCGTATTATGTAAAATTTCGTCTTAAGTTGTGAAATATAAGCGTGTTGACATTTTCGAATATGGATAAAACGTACTGTACAATTAGTGTTCGTGTAATACGGGCAGTAGCGATTTTAGCCACAGGCAAAACTGCACGACCCATGTTACGTGCCTCGCCTTCTCAGACCTAACAGGCAGAAATATTTGTCAATACGCTGTTGATCCAGAACTCCGAATCCGGTGTTAAGGGCCTGTCCTTAAATTACGTCCGTATTTTTCTTGAAATTGTTACTTTTCCGCTCTCCTTAGGACGTCCAACAAAACTCAACCGCTTTATGCATAATAAAATGCATAAATTGTGTAAAATTCAATGCATTGAAGTTCGGTCCTTCCCCTCCCAGTGTGGACAGCCCTTGATTGTGCCCTGTTAATCTTGTTTTTAATGGGAAAGAACTAGCTGAAACGGATGACAGATCAGATGACAAAACCATTTATTGAAAACTTTATTTACAATGAAATGAGCGGAGAATGCATAGCAATTTTAAACATAATCAAAATTGAAATGTGCTTAAATATTAATATTTATCACTCGTTCTTGAAACTTTTACTAGTGAATGTCACTACCGTTTCAAGACAACTATCTGTACAGGGGCAAAATTCTTTTCTGGCCTAACGCCTATTAACCAAAGAAAAAAAATAATGAAAAGATGACGGATTAAAATGGTACAACTCATTTAAACTTTTTACAAAATCATTTACATTCCTTATAAATATATACGTATGTATATATATATTGTATTTACGTCGGTATAGATATATACATATATATTTATGGCAATATAAGAAATAAGGAGAAAAACCGATGGCACAACCAACCTAATCATCTATGCGTTATTGTGTTATGGGCAAACATTAATAACGGCCGGAAGAGACGTCCGGCATCTATCACAATCGATAATAGAGCAGCATTTGAATTTTTGTTTGTTTTTTCTAATCTTAATAATCTAAATAAACGACAACAATATGGTTAAAGCCGATCGAATAACCTCACCTCGTCGTCCGTGACTAGCCAAAACCACAGCGACCACATAATTCCTGCTTTACTAATATTTACAGGATATTTACACACAGACTGTGGAATGATATGGTGGAACACTCGGCTACTCCAGAGACAGTTCCTTATGTAACCACCAGGCAACTATGAGAGGAACTTTAAAGCCTCCGATATAACAACGATAGACTTAAAAAAGGAAGAACATTCACAGAGAAATAGTTCGTTTGATTAGAGTAAGCTTGGGCCTCTCGTGCTACGCTAACCGAGTGGTCGTTCTCTAAATCTAACTGTGCACTCTGCAAAGTGATAAAAGCTTACGTCTTTCGTAATATTGTTTAAAAGAACAATCACAAAGACACGTTTCCGAAAGATCTCCAAATTTAGCCGACAAGGACTACCGACTTCGGTAGAATAACAGTAGATTATTGCGTTCTATTTATTTATTTTTTTCTTTCCTTCCGATAAATACGAGACAGGCATCGATTACGTCGATCACGCACACGTAAGGTAGTTACGAAGAGATCCGACGGACATTTACACGGATTATGTAGAATAATTTACAAAGTAAATTTGAGACAATTCTGAAAGAAGTTTGCTACAAAAATACATTCATATCGATGCAATGGGACAGATAACAAACTAAGTTACTGAAGAGCAGCTGTAATTTGAAGAGAAAAAATTGGAAGAAAGGCTCTCCGAGTTGTTACTGAATCAGCAGGCCAATGGCAAAAGTAGGGAGGCCATTTTAATGTGCACCACCTTTGACCTGGAGGAAGGTGGAGATGAGAACTGGGGCTTTCTACGATATCCCCAGGTATCCGCTTATCGATGAAATGAGGATCACCACCAGGATGATGACGCATATCATGATCATTATTTTCTTCTGCAACGAGTACAAATAAATACAGTTAAATATAAATGTTCAATAAATATTAAAAAATATATACATACAATGTTTTCTTCTGTATACTAAATCAAACTTTTTCATACCATTAATTTTCCTGTCTTAAATTATTGTAGCAGACAATTGCATTATAAATTATTTAATTTGTAATGCAATTGTCTGCAGAAAATTTTCCACAGGTAAAGCTTGGAGACAATTATTTTTGTTTTTTTCACAAGTAGATTATAGAATACATACAGTGTTCCGTGGTTGAGGATTTATTTTTACAATACTTTACTCGATTTTAGGGGAGGGCAAGTGCCCCGTTTATCCAGTACTGTATCTTCTGTATTTCTATATAATGCAAAAATTAATTTTAATATTGAACTATACAATAACAAAACACTGGCTTTATTGGAATAAATCAAAGTTCTGTTACTATTTAAAGACTTTGTAGTTGCTTTCATTATTAATATTCAATTCTCTTCAAAGATATCCCCCTTAAGTGATTATACTCATAGAAATTTTTTTTTTTATAATTCTAGCACAGTTAAAAAGTAAAACTAAAAAAGAAACCTCAATAATTTGTCACTCTGACCACTTATTAATGTCAATATTATTTAATTGAGTTTTCAAGAAAAATGAACATATTCCTTTACACAAAATAGACATTTCAAACAAAGATTTCAGTGCTTTTTCCTAAATCTTCCTGCTTACAAGCACCAAGAGTTTACCATCTGAGCAATGAAGGATCAGTGCCTTAACTGCCCCGCTTTGTGCAACAGTGCATGAATTCTCTGAATTACAACAATGCATGCTAAAATTGTTCAATGTACCTGAAACAATTTTGTGTCTCAAAACAAGTGTAAATGAAGTTATTCCTTTGTTTTTTAATCAGTGAATGCTGGAAAATGAGAGGAAGGTGCAAGTTTTAATATTTAGAAGATAGTTCCAGCTTTAGAATTAACCAGTTGTATTCTCACTGGCCAATGAATTAGAAACCCCTATGCATATTAAGTACATTTACTAAAGGATTAGAAGGCCACCACCAATAGGTATAGCCTTGGAAAAGGAAAGATGAAGAGTTGTAGAAGAAGTGAGAAGAGTGAAGAGAAGAAAAAGGGTAGATAGGAAAGAGTGAAATATGACATCTCAGAGCACCTGCCGAGTGCCATTTATTAAACACAAAAGTACAAATAGCCAAAATACAGTGGAATACAGTATAACTGCCCCTGTTTTGAGGCAGTAGGAGCCCCATTACGGCTGACTTGCCTTGGAGCTCAACAAACAATCACGCACGAATGTACAACCTGAATGGGGTTATAGACAAATCCTCCATGGGAGGGAACAAAAGAAAACAACCGTTTGTACAAAAAACAGCCCCAAACTGGGTAAAATGACCCTTAACGGCTACCTTGCCAAAGGGTCTGCACACAAACTAATGCGTATGTACTGTACATCCCCTATCAAGGGGGAGAGAACCTCCATAACCTTGCAGGTTACAAAAACGTGAGCGACAAACTTCGGTAAAGGGACCTGAGACAATGACATTGTTCCTTCAGGTCCAGTGGTACATGACCAAAGCTCTGTTAAGTACAGTAGAGCATCGATTATCCGACTCAATTGGGGACTCAGGTTGGTCGGATAACTGAAAAATCGGATAACCGAAAAGAATGAAAAAAAATGCATTATTAATATAGTATATTAGGATATTAGTATATCCCATGTATTTAGTTTATTAGTATATCGATATTAACCAACTTCGCGTTGAATTTTCATCGATGTTTAGCCTAACAAATTTTTAAAAAAATAATAATCGTCGCTATTGTATCGATAAAAATTATTTTTAAATTATTTTATTGCTCACGAAACAAACAACCACTTGTAATTAGAAAATTAAGTCTCGTTTAAATACTGGCCTCCCTTCGATGGTCGAGCCGTTGATGCCAGCTAAAACATGCAAATATTTAACACAAATAATATTAAAGTAGCCAAGACATAGCCAAATATTGTAATGCCACATCACTAGCGGACATTTGAAATTTGCCGACTAGAATGGCCGGTTAACCGATGCTCTACTGTAAATGTAATTTTGCAGCTTATGTGCAAAGCACTGGAGTCATTTGAGTTACCATATGTTTGTAAGCTTCTATTTAAGAATTCTGTTAGTCAGTATGGTCATTAAGTTTATGACAATGGGAAAAGCGAAGGACTTGACAAAGTTTCAAAAACGGCTGATTGTGGGTACCCGTCTCGCTGGAGCCACGATATCAAGAACTGTAGAGCCGACTGGTTTTTCCAAAGGCGAGTGTGGCGACAGCTTTGGCGATAAACCCCAAAGTCGCCACAAGGGGGAACCCCTGACCTGACCTATGACATCACACACATTCTTGTTGGATTTTGACCTCTCCAGACGTGTGTAGTAACACCTCGTGTTTTAACCTGTACAGTCGCGCCATAATTCATATATAGAATAAATGATAATCTTTTATTGTATGTGGCCCTGTTTGTAATGAGTAATTTCACACGAACTGGCGCCCACAGCGAGACATCCCAAGTGTTCAATTGGTGGAAAAAAACCTGCAGTCGATGTCTAAAAGAAGTAACCGTGGCTTCAAAACAGTTAATCAGGAATGCAACTAATGTCGTGTGAAAAGGCTAGTGTGGAAAAAAAAGGACTTCCTCTGTGCAGCAATTGACAGAAGAATTTAATGAATCCTGTCCCTGACCCATATCTACCTGAACCATGTGCAGGGAACTGAAAAGAATCAGTATGAAGTCGCAGGCCTATACAAAAATCACTGATTTCTGCAAAGAACTGGAAAGTTTGTCTACAGTGGTGCCAAGAGTGTCATGATTGGTCATCTGAGGACTTGAAAAAGTAATGTAGTCAGATGAATCATGGTACACCTTATTCTGTACCGATGGTAGCCAGAGGGTCTGGGGAGAGCCCCATGAAGCAACGGATCCTGCTTGCCTCATTAACACGACTCAAAGTTCTGGTGGGTGTGTTATGGTATGGGACAGGTTCTGTTGAGATGGAACTGGTCCGCTGATATTCCTGGAAGATTGGGTGACTTCCAACGAGTACCCGAACATTGTTGCCAATCAAGTTCATCCTGCATGAGGTGGCTCTTTCTTTGATGACAATGCTGCTGTCCATTGTGCAAGATTTGTTCAGGAGTGGTTCAGTGAGCATAAGACGACTTTTGCCACCCACCCTGGTCACCACAGATCCCAGATCTTAACCCCAATGAGAACATATGGGACATGTTACAACAACAGATTGGCCAGCAAAGTCCACTTCTGTCAAATCTAAACAAACTAAAGGAAAGTCCTGTGAATGCCTGGTGTACATTGGACTTAGAAGCGCTTCATCAGCTTGTAAAATCCGTACCGAATTGAGTAAATGATGTTGTTTGAGTTAAAGGTGATCCAATAAAATACTAAACTGCTGTTTCTAATTCATTGGCCAGTGAGTGTATATCAATAATGAAATCTAGGTTTTGCTTCATCCTCTTCTATACTCCCTTTCCCAAAGCTCTTATTTGAGTCTTTCCCTAAATCAGGCATGGCCAACATATGGCCTGTGGGCCGGGCCCGGCCCGTCTAATGAATTTATGTGGCCTGCGATCAATCTTTCAATATTAGCTACTGAAGTCCAAATAGCTTGATGAAAAATTTTGATGACAAAAAAAAAATGATCAACAACTCACTGTGCATTTAGAGTTAACCCTCCATTACAAATCTCGTCATAAGTACAGTGTACAATGTTGATAAAAAGCATGATAATGTGAAAAATGTATCTGTAATCTCTATGTACGATTTAGTCTCTATGGGGTGACACCACATTGAGATCTCGTACCACCTCAAAATCTTCCTAGGGTAGCCTCTTGTTCGGTCCGGGGGCAAAAACTGTTGGCCACCCCTGCCCTAAATTGTGCTTTTTTCATACAAGTTTCACTTCCCTATGATCTTTGAATTAGAAAAATTTGGCTGTACTGATGTCTTGTCTCATTTTGGTGATTTTTTTCCCCCCCTTGGTCAGATAACTAGTAACATTTCTCATTGTCTTATGATTAAAATGTAGCAGCATGGTATGATTTTCAGCTTAAAAACTTGCATCATAGTTTTTACAATAAAGAGAAGAGATCAAACTACAGGAGGACAGCTTTTGCATAAAAGCATTGAACCTCCAGACTAAATAATATCTCGCTGAAAGTATTAAGGCAATCACAATTACAACAAAAGAAAAAAAAATTTATTAGAATAAAAAACACATTCTTATTTTGTAATAATAAAAAGATATAATTTTAATAGCTACTGTCTTATGCATATAGAAGAAGAAAAATTATTGCACCTCATCTAATAGCTTAACAGAGAGAATATTTTGACACAATTAAGTGATGCTTAAGTGGTCAGTATTTTCTGGTTCCACTAATTGTATGAATACATAAAACTAATTAATTTCATTTCTGAAGAAAACTAATGTTGATTTTAATTTTTGACAGAAAATAAGTTTAGATCTATTTTTATATACAGTGTGCTAAAAGTCAATTTTAATTTCTCCTGAACAAATCAAGCTAAACAAGATCAATTTTTTTTTCATGAACTGAAGCTCTATTTATTATTACTTAATTCGTACACTTATACTTCATTTGGCAAGATCTGAAATAAATATGGAAAAACACAAATTTTCTTTGTCACCAGAAATTTCTGCATGTGATTATCTGCAAAATTTATATTATATGAACTCTGAAATTTTCAAGGCTTGTAATGTTGCATCTGAATACTTCATTTTTCCTTTATATTAAGAAAACCATTGAAGAATGTTATTCAATACTAATTCTTAAAAGGTTCTTGTAAAAGATGTCACCTACATCTTTTCTAAGCAAATGATGAAACCAAATGGCACTTTGGCATAAGTGAGTTGTTCAGGAGATATTGGGAATTAAAATGCTGACTTTTAGCTGGGACATTCTGTACAATTAAATATTAAGTCAGTAATATATGACATATATTGTAAATTACAATAATATTTGATACAGTATATAAATAAAACCCAATAATGTAAAATTTATATAAATATTATTTTTCACATAATGCAAAATTTCATCAAATTCAAAACAAACACTTTAAAGATTCATTATAACTTTTTCATTAAATTTTGTTTAATCTTATCAAGATTCTTATGAAAATTAATTCTAAAAATTTAAACATTAATGTAAAAATAAAGTTTACATATTGAAAGGTAGGTAATCCATTAAACTAATAATAATTTCATTCTTAAGTAAGAAAGATTCCTGAATGTCAAATAACAGCTTCAATAATAATAAAACTAGTTAAAATATTTAAAAAATCATTTTATATATAAATATTATTAATTTACTTAATTCAGTGTCAATTAAAATTTGTTCATTAAAGTTTAATTTCAATAATCTAGAATTTCTAAGACTTCATATAATTAGAATATTGGAACATATAATATAGTGTAAATTCAAAGTTACAAACAAGTGATAAAAATCCTATAAAATAACAACTTGTGTAACATCTGATGGATTAGAACATTAAACATTTTAAAAAAGTTTCTAATAATATGAATTTGATACGATGATGATTTGTTAAGTAAGCTATTGTAATAACAAAGCTACCATCATGAATTAATTGAAAGATCTTTGGCCATTCTTACTAATGACATTATACGATAATGCCTTTCTTGAGATAAATGCTTGAAACAATAGAAGTAACATTTTCTTTAGACTTAGGAGTCATTGTATTATTTTCATTACTGTGAAAAAAGGTATAAATTTGAGAGAACTGTAATAATTCCTATAATAGTATTCTTGTATCTCTAAAATTAAATAAATGTTATATTTACAGTTGTTGTAGCAATTGAATAGGAATGTTTTAAATTTTAAACCTTAGAAAATGTTTTTTGGATGTTTTAAATGTTTTTAATACCTTCTAAATATCACTTTTGGTAGCTGTTATTACGATCTACGTATGTATGTCTCTCTAATCCGAAATTAAGTTCAATAGACTATCATTACAGCTTTCAGGTTAGACACTTTTAAAATGTTGAAAAAACCACATAGCATCAATAAAACCATCAATTATCAATCCTGCATCCCTGAAATTATAATAAAAGAACATCTACATAATGTGTCTAAAAACAAAATATATATATATATAAGAACTACTAATATAAATCGTAAAATTGAATTAAAAGAATTAGAGAATAAGTTCATTTTGAATAATTACCCCAGTTACAAATTAAAAATGTGGCACAACCAGTATTATAAAAACAGATTTAATATCAAAAATAAAAAAGATAAAAATTATAAAGCTTTTCCTTATATCAATGATGATTATAATAATTGTAGTAAGATTTTAAAAAAAGAAAATATTGTTTTGGCCCTATCTTTGACCAATAAAATTTCACGTAATATTTACAATAATAATAATAAATATAAAATGAATGTTAATAAATTAAAAAAATCAGGAGTTGTATATAAAATTAATTGTAATTGCCAAAACCAAAAAATTATATAGGTTAAACTAGTAGAACGTTAGAATCAAGAATTAAAGAACACGAAACAGCAATTAGATTAAAATACAATAATTCTCCGTGGTTCAACCATATAAAAAATAGTAATTGTCAAATAGATTGAATTATTTTTGTTATTTCTTTCAGAAAAAAATATGTATAAATGTAAATTTAAGGAACATATTGAGATTATAAAATTTAAAGATGATAATTTAATCACTATATCAAATGGTATGCGAACAGATCAACAGTGATACAATACAATCACTTTTTTCCATCACCTATTATAATGTATTTATCATACAGTGTTGTGTCAGAAAATAATTGGAAATATATTGTGAAATTATCTAGGTATCCTCTTAAAAATGTTTTTAATATTACTATATTGCATATAATTAACCTGTAAAACGATTATAATTACAGTTACTGCAATGTTATATTGTAGAAAATACACATTCTTTAAAAGTTGTACTTATATAAGATTTTATGAGCACATTACATACTCACTTTTATATTTTTCTATTATATTGTTATTTTATTGGAATATGTGATGTTATGGAGTAAAAAATTATAAAATTATTAATATATAAGGTTTTGCATATAGATGTTTGGAAAATGTATTTGTGGTGTTTTTAATGGATGTATTAAAGAATCTTTCCAATGTTACCCATTATACACCGTGGTTTTAGAAGACAGAACCATATGTATCATGTAAGTGTGACAATTTTTAAGTATGATAGTTTTATGTCAGTAAATATGATCTACACACAAGGAATTTTGTCATGTTACTAATTGTGGTTTTTTTTTATAATTTGTAGTATTGCACTGAAGTGGGACTTAACATTTATATAAGTCCAAAATTCATATGTGGAAACAATAAAAGAAGTGTCTAACCTGAAAGCTGTAATGATAGTCTACGGAACTTAATTTCGGATTAAAGAGACATACATACATACATACATACATAGTTTCTAATACCATTTAAAAACATTTAAATTGGAATATTTTTTTATCTTTGTTGGCATCTCCATTCATTCTAAGTGGTTGTATCCATACTTTTTAAACATTAAATTTTGTAAAAGAGAGTGTGTTAAATCTGAAAGAAGTTATATATTAATTTATTTCTGAACCGTATTCTTATCTAGTGCATTTTTTGCTTTTTATAAATCATTAAGTATTCTTTGTAGATAGTAGCTAAAAGAGAGAACACAATATTTCAATTATAAAAAATAATAATAAATGTCTAACAACAATCACTAATGTTTGTTTTTAGAAGTGGAAACAATGTTTAACTAACTTTAACATCAGAAGTTGTGCAGTTCTATCAAAAAGTACAAAAAACAATAGAGATAGTAGGAGAAGTGATAACAGACTGAAATAATCAAATGCTTAAATCTGTGAAAAATATTAAAGAAGAATAAACAATACAAATCATTGGAAAGGCACAATAATCATCATCAAATTAAATAAAATTAATTTTCTGTATATAATCTACAAAAGTTATTAGAACACAGTTTATATCTGCTTTAATTAATTAAAACAGACTTTAAAATGCAGATTATGCGCTGAAAATTATAGTATCAGAAACCTATAAAAGCAATATACATACTATTATTGTGTTGTAATTTTTCAAATGTAATGTATTACTTTAAACATTACTGCTATATTAACTGTAATTTTGGTTTTTTATCACTTGTTTGTCTCTTATAAAATATAGATTCAAACAATTAAGCTTCAATGTCCAATTTCTAATTACATGACAAATCCTGTCTTATCAGAACAGTTTCAAACACCAGTAAGTTTTATTTTCATTACTTTTTTAAAATATTTAACAAACTTATTGCTAACAAATTGCAATTATTTTGTTTCTGCTGTAAGCAATTTTATAATTGTTAAAAATAAAAAAAATATTTAAACACAAACTGAAAAGAATAAAATAAGAGAGTTAAATTATAACAAAATATTAAAATTAACATATAAATTAAATTGGCAATTGTAGGTAAATTAATTAAATCTACCTGCCAAGAATATTATGTGAATGCATCCTTGATTTTGTCTTTAACATATGAAATAATCTCCAAAAAAAAGAAAGCTTCATATTATTGAAAATGAGGTAATTTTATATTTTCATTATGTATCTGGACAATAATAACGATTTTCTGCTGTAGAAGAAGAAAAATAAACATTTATAACAAAATAAAACTTTGTATAACAATAAAATAAAAATAAATTTAATATTTTATGGTGTTTGGTTATTAATTAATATTTTATTTTATAATAATAATGATAATAAAAATAAAGGATTAGACCTCACACACACTACAAATACCCAAACAACTAGGAAAAACCTTATATTATCACAATACTTCCACAAGCAGAATCAACACTTTCAGACACATTAATTTATTCTGATGCAGTCACTGTAGTTACATACCTTTTTAAAGTACAGTACAATCATAAACATAACACAGGCAAATCATAAGCCTGAGTGGCACAGATGATAAGAAACACAAATAATATTAAATACCAATTAGGCAGGCTGAATAATATAGTAAAATCAATGTAATACCAAATTTCACGAAGAGGTTATGACAATATTCAGGAAAATTAAAAACACACACAATACACACAGACAGGAATACAATGGCACTCAAACAAAAACATCCAAGTCACAAAGACTGAAAAAATATAAAAATGTATGCTGTAAAAAAGAAATTATTCATAAACAATGAGACTTTTCTACAGATTACTACATACCAAACCCACCATCTCACATTCATGATTATTGTGTACATTATATATTTTTAGAAAACATGTTGCAGCACTGAAAAACACCACACTTCAAATTTTATGATATATATATATTTGGTTTGTTTTGATATATACATGATGAGGCATTTTCCAGGGGATTTATTATATCCACTCTGGCTTTGTCTGACTTTGAACCCATTGTCTAATAGATTAAACAACACTAAATATGAAGATACTATTGTGTTTGATGTAATCTCATGTCTCACAATGTATTGTATCATCTCATGTACTGTAGATGGGCAACATAAAATTATGCATTTACACAAGCACATTAAATCACCTATTAGAAATTATACACACTTATTCAACTAATATAAAAATGCAGTTTGGCCTAGATAAATGCAAAACACTTCACTTAAAAAAATAATCCATAAGATAATGATTTCCTACAGAAATGAAGACATCATTAAATGAAGAAAATGTTTATAAATACTTACAATTCTAGCAGGCCAAATTCACAGAATACACACAAATAAAACAGACTAACAGAAGAATACAACAGATTGAACTCAATGCTTAAAAACACGGTTGATTGCTTTAAATGCGTTTCTGATTTCAACACATCACCTTAGCACTAACATTCATTTGGAGTTATACACTGAACACAAACAGAACGAGAACAATTCCAAATAACAAAAACAGCATTAACAGAACAAACACCACTCTTAAGTTCTCTGTAGAAAGGCTAACTCTTCCTTATAAAGAGGGAGGACAAAATATTTTAAATATGCACTACAAGCAAATACAGACACTACAAGAGTTCTCTGTAGAAAATAAGAAACATCACAATTACACAAAGCTGTAGCTCTTGCAGACCAAAAAATACACCATTAAACACCTGCACAACACTAACCTGGATCTAATGCAGCATACAAAAATGCACAGACACCACTAGACAGTCTTGGGCTCAGAAAGAGCTCCATGGTAGGTATTAGCAATTTCAACCAGGATCATGTTGGCAGAATTGTGTCAAACCATTGGCTGACTCGACTTTTTGGAGAGACAGAAAGGTTCATGATTGCCATACAAGATTAGGTCAAAAAAACTATAGAAAGCACATTTTAAAAGCTAACACTCACAGATGATACTTATAGTAAATGACATATTATACACGTAACTGACTACTAACATTACCATAACAAAATACCAAGTGTAATACATCAAAAGCTTGCAAACACACAGCAACCATACTTTATAGATACACCTCAAATGGTCATAGAAAATAATACACACAAATTATACTATATTGAGCCATAATCACAAACAAAAGAATCCATCACATTCGTTGACAAACAAAATCATATATGTTGTAGACATAACTGTTCAAAATACCCACAACAATGCAACATACTAAAAAAGTTAGCAAATACTCTGAACTCACCTGAAATAAAGTCTGTAGAGAATGGTACTTATGCCCAAAGTCTTTTCTTGCACATCAAGCTACATATACTAGACAAAACTCTAGAAATATTAGGACTTCACAACAGCACATACATCACATTAGAGAAAGTAGCCATACTTAACATTTGCAACATAATTAGGAATTCTTAGACACAGATATGAATACACAAAGAGCACACAACCACAAAAAGAGGTGTCCTGTAGGTATGCCTTTATTGTGGTCCAGACAGCACTGAGCAATGGTATTAACTGAGTAGTCTGTAATCCACACACACCATAATATAATATTTATCATCAAATTTATACTTACTCTTCGAGCCTTGCTCTGGTATGCTAATGCTTTCTTTGTATCTTGCTTGGCAGTTTCAATATAATCTCTAGCATGTTCACAATGGTATTCAATCCTATCAATCATTTCTCCCTATATTTAAATGAAACATTAATTAAGATTATTACAGAAAATATGTATGTAGAATGCATTTCATATATATGAAATGAATTCTACATATAAGGATACATTAAAAGCAAAATCAATCAAAACAAATTATTTTAATTTTGAATGAATGCAATGCCATAAACCTTTCCTACAAAGTAGTTAAAGTAGTTCCCAAAATAACTTAAAATCTGAAACATGTACAGTACACATGAAATAGTATTGAAAGTGATTACAATCTGACCTACAGAGAGAGAGGGGGGAAAACAAACACTTGAGATCATATATCTATAGTATATTTTTATCTGACATTCTTGACATCAGATATGTTTTTGAGTTTGGAATTTTTCAGATTTCACAATGGTTGTCACAATGGAGCTTAATGAAAGTATTTCATAGCTAATCAATACTAGATAGGAAATATTATTCATTGCACTGTTATTTTAAGTTAGATAAAGATAAACCACAAAATTACTAGCACACTTTATTTTGTAAATAAAAAATCCATTTAAATTTCAAAGATAAACAGGTTCAAATTAAGCTAAGTATCTGTTGTGCTATATGTCTTCCATAAGGGAATCTGCAGGTCTTTCGCATCTTCATTCCTCAAAGTTATAAAATCACAAAAAACTATAAACAATATATCAGTAAGCAGTAGAGAACTATTTTCAAACTGCAGAGCATTTCTGCAGTCATCTATCTGCCCTTCATTACTCTTATAAGAGTATAAAAAGCTCAAGGGCTGGACACACTAATTAATTGTATACAAACTTCTGGTCTGAACAAGAAGTCACGTGATTTCAGTTCAAGATTTTTCAAGAATGGAGTTAGATAACTAGCATGATTTGATTGTTAACAAGAGAAGTATGATGTACAGGGGCAAAATATCACTAAAACGCAGACCAAATATGGAAAGCTTAGGAGCCAAAGACCCTGTTTATCATACATAATTTCTGGTTCAGACTGGAAGTTTATATGATTTTTTAAATTAAAAGATGAATAAAAATTGCAGTCTGACATTGTGACAATGTAATAATTGCTTGTTAGAAATGGATTGACTAAAACATTGAGATTTATTTCACATCAAATGTGAGTTTTCTTTTGTGAATGCCTCCTTGAAAAAGTTTCCCGTTTTCAGAATTTCAATAAGAGATTGTGTACCTGTATTATCAGCTTGATTGTGTGCATTAAGATATTTAAAATAATTTCAATTATTTTCCAATAATGATTTGTATATCTTCTTTTAAATAAAATTCTATATTATTTAAAGATAGAGAATCTATTTAGCATTGAATTTAAAAGTACAGATTACTTTTTACCTTACTTGTACTTTAACTCCCTAGTAACTATAAGAATACATTTTTAATATATTGTCATATGTTAATCAATTAAATTGTGGATAAATGAGGAATGAAACTCTAACCAGTGGTTCTCAGTGTTCCACAAACTTGCCTTGAGTGTTCCTTGAAAAAAGATTGGAATAAATTTGCAATAAAAATTTTAAAATGTACACCACCACATTCCTTTATTCATAGACAATTGCACTTTTCTATTTCATTCAATACAATAAAGTTTATTAGTTTATTGTTTCTTCACTTTATAAGAACAGCAAAGATGGTACTGCTTGTTGGTTTTTGAATATATTGATACTAATGGTCTGTGTAATGACAAATATCAGAATGGCATTCTGTGGCCTTAGAAAGGTTAAGAATACTGCTCTAAACTGACCCAATTCATTCACGATAAACACTAAGCTTAGAGAGTTGAGCTTGGATCTCTCAAAGTAGTAAATGTGTTATTTATCTAATTACTATCTTATTTATCAATTATCTAACACATTAATTTATAAAAATATTTTGTAATATCAAATCATTAAAGAAGATAGTCTGAAGATAATTTTTGAAAAATTCAATAAAAGAACTTAGAGGTTAGTTTATAATTTTATAGACAACATAAGCGAAACTGAAAATATTCCAACAGTATAGATTTCTGATTGTTTTATAATTTCACATAGTAAAATCAACCATTGAAACAAAAAATTTAAATTCATGAACAGAAGTCTTTATAATCCAATAAATAATTTATTTTATTATGATTTTATTGGAAAAATTAAAAATTTTTACTTATGCACTATAACAATGCTGTTAATTAATAGCACAGTTGTAGCCCATTAATAATCTGGTGTTTAGATCTTTCATTACTTGAATGCTGGGCAATGGTTTATGTTTGCATTAATTTTACATAAAACATTTCCACGTATAACTTAATAATAATTTACCTGACTCTCCACTAACATTGCCATATCCATAAACATGTCGTGCAGTTCACGAATACTACTTTCCAATTTTATGATATCTTCATGACGAGCTTCAATGTCTGCCAGTGTCTGCTTGGCCTGTTGTGTCTCCATGATGATCTATTTTATAA